TCTTTCCCTCTTTGTTTTACGCCACATTAGGGGCTTTGGATGCTTTTCTGTTTCCATTTTCTCAGCCCTCCCATTCTTACCTTCTTTGCTTTCTTTCTGGTTTTTTTTTTTCTTCTCCCTCCTGTTTTCCTTTTGGAGTTTATTGGATAGATGGTGGAGGAAACAAGCAGTTGAACTGTAGCATCTTGTAGGCTGCTCAGGAACACAATCATCTTAATTTTGTCAGGCAGCTCTTTGGTTTTCACCTGAGCCTCTTCTCAGCTGGTGATTCCAGTAGCTTCCTGTCTGTGTTTGCCAGGCATTGAGAGTTTTGTAACTGGCGAGATGCTTTCCTCATTGTTTGGGCACTGTTCTTCATGTTGCTTATGCTAGATACAATTTTGTAGAAGGGCGCGTTGATATTGTAACCAGTTTGGTCTTTTCTCTGTGGTGTCTGGCTAACAGACAGCTGAAATAGATGATTAAGCTAAAGCTCAGCCTTTTTGAACTGGAGCAGTAAAAAAAATTCCAGCTGATGAACAGAACAAGTGGGACTTTACTCCATAAGGAGAGAGTCAGCAGCCAGTTCTGCAGGTTACTCTCTCCGCAGTTGATACAATTCCACATTTTCCTCTAACCAGTTAAGGCTCTTCTGTCGCACTGGGACCTCAGTATATTTTTAACAGGCCTAATGCATGTCCGTCCTCAGCTGACGTAGCACTGGCCAGCTTCCTCTGGAGTCTTTTAATCAGTCAATGGAAAATAGTGGCTGAAGTGCATAACGTGGGTATCACACTGAGCTCAGCTGTCCTGAGAAATATGAATCTTCCAAGACACGTCAATGAGAAGGCTCACATCACGAAACAGGCATGTGCATTTGCTGTGCTAGAACTGCAGCATCAGCCTCAACGGAGAATTGGCGGAGTTAATTCTTCAAGGAATAGGTACTCTGTGAGGAGAGAAACTTACTCAGTGGTGGTTTCTTTTACTATTTTATTATTTTAATTATTATTTTTCCTTAGATTGCCATGGGGATTCCCCTCCACAGGATCAAGGATATCCGAGTGATGTATGGTGTTTCTCCATGGGGAGATGCAACTATTGATTTTGAGAATTCAGCCCATGTCCCCTGTCCACGTGGCCATGTCATTGCTGCACGTATCACCAGTGAGAATCCTGATGAGGTGAGACTTTTAAATTCTGTAGTTACTGATCACACACTGATAGCTGTAGACTTTGCACCTGAGTTCAATCCTTGCTGCTGATCCTGAAAAGTTTTGCAGCAAATTTAAAAGATTCTTCCCTTATGTCACTTAGCTGATGGTTCTGTAGGCTGTGCTTAGACACAGCCTGAACTTGTGTATATATCATGTTGCAGCACAAAGAGGTGCTCTAGCCTTCAGAACTCTAGTTACTTCCCTAATTCTGAATTATTTACTTTTTCTTTAGGATGTATGGCAATGTCTGTCTGTCTTTACAGGGATTTAAGCCCAGTTCTGGTACAGTTCAGGAACTGAATTTCCGCAGCAATAAGAATGTCTGGGGCTATTTCAGTGTTGCTGCTGCAGGAGGGCTTCATGAATTTGCTGATTCTCAATTTGGTCACTGCTTCTCTTGGGGAGAAAATCGTGAAGAAGCCATCTCGTAAGTAGTCAGATAAGTGGAAGAACCTTGGAAACTGCTTGTTTTGGTCCTCTTTGTTCCAAAGTTCCATGAGTAAAACATGGATAAGGCTCCTTGCTTCTAGGAGTTTTAAGAGAACTTTCCCTCTCTTTACCTTATTTTTCCACATCCTGGTCAGGCTTCTCATTCTGTCTTGCTTTGCAATTCCACTATGTTGCACCTGCATTTCTACACTTTTTGCTTACTTCTCTGTCTTTTTCCTTTCTGTTTTGTTCCTGCCTTGTATACCTGCTGCTGGGGTATGGTATAGCTACCATTGTGTTGAAATCCCTCTTTGAAAGCATTCTGGTGGAAGGCTTCTAACAGGAAAACCACTGATAACTTGCTATGCCAGTGCCTCATAATGATTTATAAACATCTGAGTGTCCTTATGTGACGTGGAACATTAAAGCATCTGGTCATAGGACAGGACTGTCTGACCTCTCATCCATGCTGTCTTCATCCAGAGCATTTGCTCTGTTCCATTCTGGGTGGGATGGAGACCACATCTGTCTGTTTTACGTCCGTCTCGGACGTGTGGTAGGTGCCTAGATGATGGTAACAGTGGGAACTCCTGATTCACCGCAGGTGCTGGCTAAGCTGCTCTTGTTCACACCAAGAAAACAGATATTTTTTCATTCTCAAGCATGTCATATAGGAGCTTGCTCCAGTGCACATGCTTTCCTGCTATTACCTTCAGACTGTTTTTTCCCAGCGGCTCATGGGGAACTATCTAGAGTTACCAGCTTGCACATTATTGTTAGTGTGGGCTAGATAACAGGGATTCTTTTCTCTTTCAGAAACATGGTCGTGGCTTTGAAGGAGCTGTCCATCCGAGGGGATTTCCGAACCACTGTCGAGTACTTGATTAAACTGTTGGAGACAGAAAGCTTCCAGCAGAACCGCATTGACACCGGCTGGTTGGATCGGCTTATTGCTGAGAAAGTTCAGGTGCAGCTGCTTGTTTTACAGGACTACAGATTGGAGCGAGGAAGGGAAGGGGGTGGGGGCAGCAAGCTGTTGCATGCTGGTTGCGAGAGGACAAGGATTTAGGAGTGGTTAATTTCCACTTATGAATAAATAATTTCACTGGCTTTAATTCTTATTTATATCAAAATCCCAGATCATCCCTGTCAGGGAAAGGTCATCTTAAAGTTAGCCAGAAAAGCATCTTACTGTATTAAGGCTAGTATTTTGGCTTGCGGTTTGGGACAGATGAGAGTGGAAATGTAAGTGGAACCTCGAGATTTGGTCCAGGAAGAAAAAAAAAATGCATTTTTCTTTTAAGGAGTTGCAGAAGTAATTGCTTCTATATAGTGTTTGCATGGATGCTACAGCAACTTAATTTTAAAGAGAGGTTGGCTGTGAACCAAAATTAGGGCTGAGACTGATTCTTTGAATGGGTGTCCAGGATGGACTGAAGCTAACGGAGATGTAATGTTATGTACCCTTTCATTCTAGGCTGAAAGACCTGATACTATGCTGGGAGTGGTGTGTGGAGCTCTGCATGTGGCTGATGTCAGCTTCCGAAACAGCGTCTCAAACTTCCTGCACTCTCTAGAAAGGTAAAATTGCAAACTGGCCTGGTGGATAGCTGGTAAGCAGGGAGTAATTGGTTTTGATTACAAGTTTTGTTCAAGTAGGGAAACTAGTCGTAACACTCCGTTATGCTAAACCTGGTACGATCCAGGCAGGTCTGTTCTTAACAGTGCTTTCCAAATTCTGGTATGCATCTTTGAACCTGCTCGGGCCCCTGGTAGCCATTTGGTGACTTCTGGAAGGCAAGTCTTGTTTTGTACTTCTCTTTCAAGGGGCCAAGTCCTGCCTGCTCATACCCTGCTAAACACTGTGGATGTGGAACTCATCTATGAGGGACGGAAGTATGTGCTGAAGGTACGATGCACAGTGTGGAAACCCATCCTCTTGCTGCTTTTAGTTGGAAATGTCTGCTTATGTGCTGCTCTGGCTTAATCTCTGTAATACACCTAATTATTGCAATTATATCTCTGCAGAGTTTATTTTCTCTGCTTTAGTAAGGTTAAGAAATCAGTACGATCTCCCTTATGATGATACCCCATCACACCTTTCCATTGCAATATCTGTCTGTCTCTGTAAACATTTTAACCTTTCAGGGTCAAGAGCTGCTCTGCATGGGGTGAAGAATATTTTGTTACAGGCAGTGATTACTACCTGTTGGTTGACCAAAACTTTCAGTTGATGTTTCTGAATGCATGAATCTACTCTGTTGGGTGTTTGAGCCCGGTTTCATCAGCATGACAGAGTTTGTGGCAATTTTTCCCTTTAGTGTTGCTTTTTCTTTGCTGTGTGTAAAAAAACAGTGTTAGAAATCCTAGTTAAAGGTTGCAAAACCATGCATACGGAAGTTAGGAAATATCAGACTTAAGATTGCCTGTGTGAGCTTAAGTAGCTTCCTCAGGCACATTTATTGTGGTGAAGTTTTTAGTGGTGTGACTTTATATTGTTTTTTCCAGCTATGAGTATTCTCTACCCCTGCACCGCCCTGATTTTATCTTGGCACCCCTTTGATGGGAAATAGAGAGGCACTGAACAGCACCTAAAGGGTGCTTTAAGTGATTTATCCAGCTTCAAATAGGAGCTCTGTGTTAGGGACTGTGATAGGGTCCATTTTTCCAGGGAAAGCCTTAGCTGCTTTCTCTGTGAGACAGTCTGTCTCTTTTTTGTGGGTTTTTTTTTTATTTTTTTGGATTATCTCATTCATTATGTAATTTAGTACACGACTGTGACTTGTTCGTTGATCGGGGTGAAGAAATGATATATGACTGCCTAATCAAATCTGTACAATTAATACATAGGTGTGAGTATTCAATCAAGGTTCATGGACAACATTAGTTCTGGCATCTCTTGTCTGTTAAATGTTTGGCTTTATGATCCCAATTTTTTTTACATCATTATTTTTCATCTAATAAGAGAAAAAAATGGCTCTCTGTTCCTCTTCTTTAATTCCCACTCTTGCAGTGCTTGGAAAACTGTGTATGTTGTAGCAGCCAAGGGACTATCAGTGCTGGTTTTGTTTCATGTGATATGTACCGCTCCTGTGGGTCTACAGGTGACCCGGCAGTCTCCCAATTCCTATGTGGTCATCATGAACAGCTCGTGTGTGGAAGTTGACGTGCACCGACTGAGTGATGGAGGACTACTCCTGTCCTATGACGGCAGCAGCTATACTACCTACATGAAAGAAGAAGTGGACAGGTAGCAATCTATAAAGACTGATGTTTAGCATTTACGTACAAGCCAAAATCAGCTGTACTTGTAACTTTATGCTTTGCAAAGATCAGCTGGGAATGGAATTATCTCCCAGGAAGAGATTATTGACATATTATGAATGAGTTTAAAGGGAGAAGTTGCCTACAGATTATGGTAACCGTTAGAAGAAAGACCTGAATGTGTACCACTGTGGAGTCCATATTCTGGACGCCTTCCTGTGTAACCTCATCTGGGTGTTCCTGCTCCGGCAGGGGGATTGGACTGGATGAGCTTTTGAGGTCCCTTCCAATCCCTAACGTTCTGTGATTCTGTGTGATTCTCCTGCTGGTTCTTTAAAAGTGTCCTTTTGGATGATAAAAAACTGAAACAAAACAGAACAAACCCAAAAACCAGAACATGAAAATCGTTAAAATTCTTGAAACTCCACACCTACCTTAAAAATAGATACAGGTTTTACTGTTTCAATGCATTCCCTCAAAATTCCCTCCAGGGATCCTAGCCATACAGTCAGTAAATCTCCAGTTTCTGGAATGTAAACCACTGCCCCCTCTGCTGGTTTATTTTCTTTGACAAATAGAACCAATCTGGTCAGGAATAGAAAGTTTGGTTAACTTTCTGGATTGGAAAATGCTATAAAATCTGAACCTCTCAGCCTGCCACATGGCATCTTGCTCTTTTCAGTTTTGCTGTGTATACAAGAAGGTTAGAAGGTTAGTGAATGTTTTGTGTGTTATGTATGGCAAGTGTAATCTCCACTGACACCAGTTTTTGTTCATATGAAATCTTGAACTTTGTTGGTTCTGGTTCTGACAGTCACTGATACCTGTTGGTAGAGAAGAAGCACAAAAGTAATGTGTACAACCTTGCTAAGGGCTGTTCTATCTGGTTTCTGATCCCTGGCTTCCACAGTCCTGTTTTGATACGATTATTCTGAACTTTGATATGCAGGGCCATACCGTTCAGCTCAGAAGAGCTGATTGATGTGGTTTTGTTTAGTTTAGTTTTG